GAATCTGCACCAGCAGCTACAACTACTGATTTTAAATGTTTATCGTGTAAATGTTTTATTGTGTTTTAAACTGTATTATTTGAGATGATGTAACCCGCCCTGAGCCCGCTCGCGGGATGGGCGAGATACAAATACAAAATAAATAAATAAATAAAATAAATTAATTAATTGTTATGCCTGCATGCAGGCAGCCCAGAAAACCAAACCTGGATTTCAAACACCCTTCTAGCTGGTTTGTTTTGTTCCTTCAATATCCTTAATATTAATTCTGGTTGGTTGGTGACATTTGAATTCACAAACCACAGTTTGTTGTCCAGGACCGCCCCTTACAGCTCCAAACCAGGACTTGGAACTGACATCTGATAGGCTAACCGACCACAGCTGAAAACAAACCAGAGTGTCTTTGTGGTAGCTGAAAGCATCCCGAGAGGGGTGGAGCGGGAGAGGGTAGCAGCCAAGGACCGTCCCGTTCTTGGGGAAGGGGAGGTATCGATGCTTGCTGAGCGGTGCCACCCGCCTGCTGCCTTGTCGCTTTTTGGGGAGCCCGTCTCCTCAGCAAGACTCCCCTCGCCCTGCCCTCGTGGGTGAGGCACAAACCCAGATGGAGCAGCTCTGACTGTCGTCGCCCACCTTAGGTCCCGGCCACAAGAAACGGAGCAAGAGCCCGCGCATCCCGGAGATGAAGAGGAAGGGGAAGGGGAAGAGGATGGCGCCTCTGAAGATCAAGCTGGGCATGATCGGGGGCAAGCGCAAGAAGAGCAGCTCAGTAAGGCTCACTCTCTATGACGCCCGTGTGAGAATGTGTCCGTTGTGATGCGGGGAACCTGTTGAGCAGCGTGCAAATTAAAGTGTATTTGCAAGCCTGACACATGAATGTGCTGGCCATTGTGTGGGGAGGGGGGAAAGGGCTGGGGGCCCCCCGACAGATAGAGAGTCTAATATGTTGTCGGAAGACTTTCACAGCCGGAGTTCATTAGCTGTTGTAGATTTTCCGGGCTATCTGGCCATGGTCTTGGCATTGTAGGACCTGACGGTTCACTAGTGGCTGTGACTGGCATCCTCAGAGGTATGACACAGAAAGACGGAGGACTCTCTGTGTCAAGGGACACTCTGTGACACAGAGAGTACTCCATCTTTCTGTGTTATACCTCTGAGGATGCCAGTCACAGCTACTGGCGAAACGTCAGCTAGAGAGTCTGTTTGCCCGTCCTGGCCCCA